CCGGCCCCTAAAAGCGGAGCAAAAAGCGGAGGGTCACCCCGACCACCACCCGGCAGAGCTCTTCCTTTCCTTCCTTCGGCCCTGCCATGCCATGACCGCTACCCTTTGTCACAAGCCCAATGACAATGGGCACGGCACACACACCCCTTCGCGCTTTCGGCTCGTCGCCCCCGGGGTTAGGAAATGATAGCATAAGCCCAGGTAGTTTAGGTGCTTATTTCCGTCAAAGAACCATTTTCACCCAAAGCCGGTGAAACCACACCTTCCCGGAGGAGTGTCGTCGGTCAAATGCCGAAAATCCCCCTAGCCACGCGACAGGACAAGAGAAAAATAAAATGTTTCAGATCTCACCTTTGCAGATCTTACCGCCCGGCATTTAAAACCTGACATGGGTCCGTCCGTCCCTCCGTTCGTGCATCGGCCGCCGTCAGCTCCCGGCCGGCCGGAGGGGCAGGGCAGGATATGTCGGCTCCGGTGAAACACGGTGCTTACCGGCCTTTTCGGCGCTCCTTTTGAGTAAACTGACCATGTCGCGAAAGAGAACAAGAAAAGGGGTTTGCAATATCCCGCATAGCCTTAGAAACAGTCTGTATGGGATTCCAGGCCTCTTTAAATGTTCTCAAGGCCTATCGAGTGTCCTCCAAAGCCCAGTAATTTACTCTTCAAAACCCATCAATCTATCCTACAATGCCCATCAACCAAAACCCCCATCCCTAAAGCCGCCAGACACCACCCCAATTCTCCCCCTCAAAAACCATCCTCCCCTGCTTCCACACCTCCCTCAACTTCAACACCATCCCCCCACCCCCCTCCCCTGTAACCCTCTCCAAAACAACAATATCCCCATCCGTCCCATCCTCCAAAGTCCCAATGCTCCCCTCCAAACCCAACAACCTCGCCGGCCGCTCCGTCACCGCCATCAACGCCGAAACAATATGCTCGTTCTCCCCCTCATCCCCTTCCAAACCAACACTCGTCGTATCAATATACCCCAAAAAATTATTCACACACTCCAACAACGTCACCGCACTCCCCGCCAACACCATCCTCTCTCTCTTTTCCTCATCCATCTTCGGAGCCATCACCCTCCCCCTAGACTTGACAACACTCGACTTCTCGGTCCCATTCCGCCACGGATACGTCCCGTCCCCCAACCCCAGCACATGCATCGCATCCGTCACCAAGATCAGCCCCTCCGGATGCACCGAGTGTGCCAGCATAACCGCTGACTTGTGGTTGTGAACCCCATCAGCAATAATGCCATAACTGGGAGCTTCTTCATTCCCCGCCGGGATAATGATGTTGGCGATACTAAGCTCCGACTCGCGGTGACCAAAAGGGGGCATGGCATTGAAGAAGTGTGTCACCATTCTCGCGCCAGCAGCGAGTGCCTCACGGGCTTTCTCGTACGAGGCTGCCGTGTGTCCCAACGAGACGACGATGCCGTCGCCGGTGAGTGTCGAGATGATTTCCGGTCCTTCCTGGAGGAGGACTTCAGGGGCTAGGGTAACCATCTTGACAGAGTGGGGAGGGGCTCGGGAGAGGTTATAGACCGTGTCGAGGTCTTGGTAGGATTGGGCGGTGCGGAGGACGGAGCGGTCGTGGACGCCGCATTTGCATGGGTTTAGAAAGGGGCCTTCGAGGTGGGCTCCTAGGACTGAGGCGCCGCGGTCTGGGGATGGTCGGGGTGTGGGGGTGAGGAATGGGATAGCCTAGGCTTGTCAGACGGAGTGAGATTGGTAACGAGGGGGATCGTAAATGGTTTCGCACCTTATGATAGGCCTCGCTGTGCTGGCTCGTGAGGGTGGGCAGGTAAGATGTCACTCCTGTCTGGACAAGCCATTTGTTGACTTTGGTAAGTTGCTTAGGATAGTCGGAGATGTCGTCGGGGATGGTTGAGAAGTTGAATCCAATAGCGCCGTTTATTTGGCAGTCGATGAAGCCTGGGGCTATGATGCATCCTTGGAGGTCACGGACAGCATCCGGGGTTCGTTTGGAAGAGCCAATGGTGCCATTCTTGGTGTTTATCCAGAGATCTCCCTTGACGAGCTTGCCGTCTCGGAGTAGGCGGCAGTTGACGAACTGGATGACCTCAGGCTCTCCATGATCCTGCGCTCTCGAGGATGGAGTACTCGAGGACGACGGGCGCAGGGCTGACATGTTGATATTCGTGCTGGCGGCTGATTCTAGGACATAGGTTGGCTACCTTAGAAGATACTGCTCGGGAAGAGGACTTGGAAAGGTTGAAATGCGGTTTGCGGCGGCTATCCACGAGCCATAAACCTCCATCATGAACATCGTGCTTGCCAAATAGACTTCATCAGTCATTCTAAGAAGGCACATCTGGCGGCTTCGGGCGGAGGTAAGCAAGCCAAACCCGTGGCTATCCACGGCGATGTCATTGGAGCCCCGGTTATCGGTGCCGTCGCTGTCATGATGATAGTGAACAGCGAGTGTGTGGTTTCATGATGTCTCAGGTCATGTTGCACCGTCAAAGATGGCTACTATCATTCACGATCGAGTAAACGTAGGTGGACTTTCAAATGTTCAAAAGTTCCTGGGAGGGAGCAGATGTAACGTTCCTGCTTGGGGCTAACCAAAGCTTGAACGGTTGCCTGCCTGTTTCGGCTAGCGGACCGTTAAATGGCCCCTTTCCAGACGTCTTCCTCCATGTGATTGGCCCGAGCAACAGTGACAGCGTCAACAGCAGTGCTTCTTCTGCCGGCCGGAAGGAGCCTGTATGGTGGTGCTGAGGTTTGTAGGTTACACGTCCCGTCCGGCTGCTCGCTCCCCAGGCCAGCCAACCATCCCTCAACATGTCGCCTTCCATAACGTGACAATTCTCCCCGCCGTATCCCGTATCCCGTTCCCCAAGAGCCCACTGGCATCCGGCACCGGCAACATGGTCAAGTTGGACGGTGACTTAGACCCACTATGGCAAGATCTCGACTGGTAACCGTTTCTCCTTTGCTTTTTGCCATGCTGTTTGTTGTCGTCGTTCTGAGTTCCTCATTCGCTGACTGTCTTGTCTCTCTCTCTCTCAGGGCCATAGGGCAGATGGTGATTATGGGATGGGATGGCACCGAAGTCACTCCGCAGATTCGTCATCTCATCGAGGAACACCATCTCGGCTCCATCCTTCTCACGGCAAAGAATCTCAAATGTGTTTTTCGGTCCGAGAGACGTGCGCGGGTGAATGGATGCTAACTCGTCAATGCAGCTGCCCACCAGACGGCCAAGCTCGTGCAGGAGCTTCAGACGATTGCTCACCAAGCCGGCCATCTTCAACCGCTCTTGATTGCCTTGGACCAGGAAAATGGCGGCGTCAACAGCCTGTACGATGAGGACTACATTTGCCAGTTTCCCAGCGCCATGGGCCAAGCTGCCGCTGGTAATGCTGATCTCGCATACAAAGTCGCCAAAGCTACAGCCACCGAGGTCTCGGCCGTGGGAGTCAATCTGATTCTCGGACCCGTGCTCGACGTTCTGACAAACGCTCGTTACCAGCCGCTCGGTGTCCGCGCTGTCGGGGACGATCCACAAGAGGTCTCACAATATGGCATCGCGGCTATGAACGGCTACAAGGATGCTGGGGTGGCCACTTGTGGAAAACACTTTCCTTCTTATGGGAATCTCGACTTTCTCGGGTCCAGCTTGGATGTTCCCATCATCACCCAAACCTTGGAGGAGTTGTCCCTGAGCGCCCTCGTGCCTTTTCGGAATGCTATTGCTACTGGAAAGTTGGATGCCATGTTCGTTGGCGGCTGTGGCATCACAAACCCGTCCATGAATGTGAACCACGCCTGCCTCTCCGATCAGGTGGTTGATGACCTTCTCAGAAACGAACTTGGTTTCACGGGTGTTGCCATATCGGAATGCTTGGAGATGGAAGCTCTTCGAAGTGAAATCGGAGTCAAGACTGGCACGGTCATGGCGGTAGAAGCCGGCTGTGACTTGGTTCTGCTGTGTCGGGCCTACGACGTGCAGCTCGAAGCCGTAGCTGGCCTCAAGCTTGGTGTGGAAAACGAGCTGCTCACCAAGGAGCGTATTTACACTTCTCTCCGCCGTGTTCTCAAGATGAAGAACGCGTGCACGTCCTGGGCTAAAGCGCTGAACCCGCCAGGAATTTCTCTGTTGTCCAAGATTCACCCGAGTCATCTCAACCTCTCAATCAACGCATATGATGACTCCATCACAGTTATTAGGGATAACGAAAAGCTTCTGCCCTTGAATGAGTCGATGCACCAGGAGGAAGAGTTGCTACTCCTCACCCCGTTGGTCAAGCCTTTGCCAGCCTCGTCTTTGACCAAAAATATCCTCGAGGCGAAGAACAAGTCCGATAGCGCGCCGTCGGAACACGACAAATGGATACACCGGGATCGGGGCGTCATAATGAGTGGCGAGGGGGTGTTTCGGGAGCTTGGGAGGTCACTTGCCCGCGCTCGACGTGGCAAGCTGCTACATACCTCTTACACTGCAAATGGTGTTAGGCCGGGTGAGTGCTTTGGGCAGCTGTGATGGGAGAGAATACAATGACTAACATGGGGTAGTACATGAAAACTTGATACATCGGGCGTCCTGTATTGTTATTGTGACGGCCGATGCCAATCGAAACCTGTACCAGGCCGGGTTCACCAAGCATGTCTCAATGATGTGCTCAATGTTGAGGGCAAGTGGCCAGAAGAAATCCCTGGTCGTGGTGGCCGTCAGCTCGCCCTATGATTTCGCCATGGACAAGTCGATTGGGACCTATATCTGCACCTTTGACTTTACGGAAATGGCCATGGCAGCTCTTGTGCGCGCTCTCTGCGGAAGCTCGAGAGCACGCGGGACGCTGCCGGGGACTCTGAGAAAAAGCAGAAAGGCCGTGAAGTCGAGGCAGCACTGGCTTGTCGAGCCCTATGACAGGGACCGCGACTCCAACGGTCTCAACGATCTTTTGAGCGCTCTTGCTCGTGCTGCTGCCCCGAACCATCGGTTTCTGACCACAACAACGGCACACTCGTTTGAGATTTTCAACCCAAACATTGAGGAGTCGCACTTTGTGGTTCGCAACAGCAGCACGCAGGCGCTGTACGGATTCTGCGCGACGTATCACACCCAAGGGACCGGCATAATCGGAGCGATCTTCGTGGACCCTACCAAGCGCAACGTTGCCATTGGGCGTTCTCTCCATCGCCGGGCCCTTCGAGCGTTGATTCAGAAGAGGGGCACAAAGAAGATACAGCTGGGAATATGTTTCCCAGGTGTGTTCCTGGGCATCCCGACAGACGACGGCGGGCTCAAGACGTGGTTTTCCAACAGCGGTTGGGACTTGCAGTTTCCGCGACGGTTGGCCAACATGGTGATTGCTGACTTGAGCAGCTGGAGCGCACCAGAGGGTCTGCTGCAGAGCATCCAACGGGCGAACATGAGCTTTGATCTTATTCATGGGTTGGAGAACGCCGAGACGGTGCTTGCGCATGTATCCGGGAATGCGAACCCGGAGGTGTTTGAGCTGTACCGTTTGGCGTTGCAGGAGACAAAGTCGTGTGGGGTTGTTAGGGCCAAGTGCCAGAGGGGAGGGCTGGTGGGGACGGTGGTTATTTGTAGTCCTGGGAGTCAGGTTGCGGGTTATGTGCCGGCTTTGCAGGGGGGGGAGGAGGTGTTGGTTGGGGGGATCATTGCGCCGGTTGTGGCGCCTGGGAATGGGGATTTGTTGGTGATTCAGGGGCTCGCGTTGATGGGGTTGAGACAGAACAAGGCGCACAAGTCTGGGAGGAGCGTGTTGAGCTGGGTGGGGGAGGAAGGGATGGAGGGGTTGGGGGCGATGGGGTGGGAGGTGCTGGAGGGGTGGGAGGAGTTTACTAATTCGGTTGAGAATGTGAGTTTTCTTGAGGGGTGAGTTGAGATGTGTTGCTGATGTTGAATAGTGGCAGGATCTTGCTTAGGGGATTTGAGCGTCGAGGTGCTGGAAGGGGGTCAGTTTAAGGGGTCAGTTTAAGGGGTCACTTTAAGGGGTCAGTTTAAGGGGTCAGTTTAAGGGGTCAGTTCGAGAGGTCAGCTTGGGAGGGTCGGTTTGGGGCGAAGAGGGTCTGGGGTTTGCTTCGTTTGTATCCTATTGTGTGTATTCCAAGATTGTTGGACTGTGATTTTGTCATTCTACTTTGTGAAATGGTGTTATTCAGTCAGTAACTTTGACCAGAACGATTACAATCGGGACCAGAGATGCCTTCTTTTCCCGCCGCCGTGCGCTGATATATAGACACATTGGCCCCTTTTGCCTACGAGATTAAATCTGACACTAAACCAGCGACGAAGCTGTGCGGCAATGATGGTTGGAGTGTGGTGTATGGCGCGGATGATTCAAGAACAGGGCGATGCTCGGGAGGCTGGGGAAACAGTGTAGAGTTTGGAATGCTTGCGGACATACAAAAACAAGAAGAGGCAAAGAGGCAGAGAGGCTTTTAATTCTTTTTCAGAGTTTTTACACAACTCAACGCTTCAGGGATGGTAGTCTCTTCCATATGAGAAGGACACCACCTGTGAAGCTGTGAAGGAGAGTAGTTACACAGATCCCGAGGATGGGAGAGGTCTTGTTGATTCTTTACGTTTTCTGTGTTTTCTATTTTCTCTCTGCAACCAGACTCGGCCGCTTGCAATGGGGCTGAGCCATCCCTGGGACTTTTCGAACCTTCCGGATTATTTCGTGCTCAAAGTCCGGTCCCTAAACCCCCTTGGTAAGCTGATGGAGCGGGGTGTTTCTCTCCTGGTGTGGAGTGTGTTGTGGATAGTGGCTAGATAGGTACATGAGAGTATGTGAGCAGATACTTCTGAGAGGTGTGGGGGGTGGGAGCAAGATTTTCCAAGAGAAAATTCAGGGGGTTCCGTGCAACTAAGAGGTACGAGGGTCCATGATCAGTCATGTATACTTATGGTTTTGCGGCATGATCGTGAATTGTGGGCTAAATTGGGCTAGAATCATCAGGATGTATGAGGTAGACATTAAAATTAACACTTACAACTGCCTAGCTAGTCCCAGACTACAGTTGACAAATCCCGCTGTGAGATTGCCCTCCGACCGATGATGCCCTCCTTTCTACCTGGTAGGCAGTCCTCATTCTTTAGGACTCGAAACGCATTGCTTCTTGCGAGAGGGGCTGCCATCTTCCTCTTGTTCCTCGATACTGCGCTTCTTTCCGGAGACAGTCTTCGTGTCCTTGTCTTCGCTGGTAGTATCCTTCTCGGAGTCTACGACGCCACTATCTTCATCCTCAGCAACGACATCAGTAATTCAGCCAGAAGCGCTCAGTGCCATCTGCACGGTTGTACCAGTATTCCTAAAAACGGTAATGGTCGGTTGGCCGCCTATAGTCGGGGAATCGACAAACGTGTCGATCAGCCACCTGGCTGCCAATTGCGGCTTCTCAGCCCAAGCCTTCGGAATCCAGGCACCCAATACACCACTCTTTTGTAGGGATAACAATGAGAACCGGCCAAAGGGCCACCATTGCACAATGGGCGAATATGGGCCAGGGTCATCGTCGTCATCTGACTCTTCAAATCCCTCGAAGTAGCCCAATAACTCGACATCCCTAAAGCTGATTAACTTCATACTCCCGTTCTTGCTGTTGACAAAAATATTCCCCGGAGGAAACATAGCGCCGTTGCCCATGCTACGAATCTTTGAATACCAATCGAGCTTGGTGACAGCTTCCAGAAGCTGCTTGAGAACGGCGAGACGAACTGGTTCGTCTGCTAGCTCCCCTCGCGATAGCAGTTCTTGCATGGTTTCTCCTTCCCCACGCTCTAAGAGGATCATGCGGACCCAGCGGACGGGCTTCTCTGGGTATCTGTCTCGAGCGGGAAAGTCCAGGATCCGTAAAACTTGGGCGCAAAACCCTCCTCGGGTGTGTCTTGCAGGGCCATGTAGGCGCGGGCCTCGAGTACATAGTCGCGGTCTGCACATGCCATGCAGTCGACGCAATTTACACAGGGATCTACGCATCTAAATTCACATTCCGCAGTGCTCAAGAAGTTCTAGTCGACGCCATTGTAGATCTTGGCAATATACTCCATCGAGGGGTCGTCTTCGAGGTCTGAACCGCATAGGTACCATGAAGGTGGTTGTCCCCGTAACTGTCCTATCTTTACTTCATACTCACGGCCGAATGGCATGGGCGGTGTGTGTGGATGAATCTTCAGTGTCGTGCCGAGGGGGTATCGCCCTAGGGCGTCGTTGGGAGACATGACCTTTTAAGCATCCATGGTGAGTATGTGTAGATGAATGAATTATCGACGTTACCTGACTTTGATTGGCGGAGGAAATGTGTGATTCATAGGGTTTGCGATAAACTGAAAGTTTGGCACCGTGTACTAAGTGTGCACATTCTCATCCACACATGACTGAAGCTTCCACGCTTCTCAACGCCATTACTGATGGTGGACTGTGGTGCCTGGACAAAAGCCAAGCTTTGAAAGTCCCCTGCAGCGGCGCCACTAGATACCCCGGAAAGGGCCGTTGAAGAAGAGATGTCGTCTGGGGTAAACCTCCGTAGCGGCTGGGCGGCTTGGCTTCCGGGCAAGGTGAGTCTAGGCTTGATGAGTCCATGACATTGAGAGAGAAACGGAAATGTATTGCTATCTGATGTGTCCAGAAAAGAAGAAGAAGAAGAAGAAGAAATGCACTTAATATCGGCAGGCGTGTTCTGCAGGGTCACCTGCGATCTGCATTCGGCCGCGGGCACAAGATCTCGCCAGAGTCGATTGGGAAGGAGCAACCACAGGGTCACACCGAGCGGGCAACTGACGGGGCCGCCTCACTTTAATCTTACTCCTCTTCTTCTCCACGTCTCACATGTCATCCAGTCTGTCGGATCGGATTCCATCTCGACATTCTTCAATCCTGTGGCCCCTTTACAAGTACAACCTGCGACCCGTCCCGAGTCCCGAGTGCAGTACCGCCGAGTCCCTGCATGAACCGTGAGTGATCGGCCATGAGATATGGCCAGCTACAATGGCATGCCGGCCATGTCCTCCGGCGCCACGGGTCCTGACGCCCTGGGACATCAAGGCCAGCAATCGCTCGGCATCGACGGCTTTGATCCGCACAGTATGACATTTGACGACCCGTTGCTGTGAGTATCACAATCGCGGGAGCTCAACTGAGAACTAATCATCTCATCTTCTTACAGCCACAACCTCCCATTTACCCCGACAGCCGCATACGATTTTGACACCCTTAGCACAACATTTGAAGACCCGTTCTCCTACCCAGCCAGACCGTTCGGTAACGATGTCGCCAACACCGCTCTCATGGGAAATTTGGGAGGGCTAGGCGTCGACCCAGAAAGCTGCTACAATGGCAACCACGGTGGCGCCGAGGGGTCATCCTCCCCACAAGAACTCGACAACAAACTCCTCGGCTTCGGCGCGGTCGTCCCAGGCAAAGCCACCCTGATCGACCCCTTGGGACAGTTTATCGAACCTATGATGAGCGCAGAGTTATACGGCATGTTCTTTGTCGCCGAGGACGTCTTTGGGGCAGATAACGGCGGCGATAACCGACGTCCGATGGAGTTGACTTGCTACAGGAGGAATCTATGGCAGTGTTCTGGGCAGATTACTCTCCCGAGACAAGTGGCGCAATATGCTGTGGCCGATGGGCAGCAACGGATGCCAGTGGTGGAATTAGCGGCGTCTATCACGGCGCTCGAGAGTATTGAAGGGAAACAAACGGAGATCATTTCCATCCCGTGGAAGAGTAACAATCCTGCTCTAGGAGGAGTGACTGAGGAATCGACAAAGTCCGCAGGGGCGCCAGCGATAACTGTGTTGGACTTGGGGTCGGGCCAGGAGATTGATGGGACGAACAGAGTGACGGTGGGGGTGTCGTGGAAGAGACTGCAGTTTAAGCATGCCACCGCGAACAATGGGCGGAGGAAGGGACTCCAGCAGCATTACGTGGTGCAGATAAATCTGCTGGTTAAGGGGAAGGGTGGAGAGTATGTCAAGGTTGCCGAAGTTCAGTCGGGACCGGTCATTGTGCGAGGCAGAAGTCCCAGGAATTTTGACAGTAGGAAAGACGTGCCTCTGTCAGGAGACAAGAGGCTACTGGAGAGGAAAAGCATCGAGGGGTTGAGTTCGGGCTCTACGACTACGAAGCAACAGCAGCAACATATGGGAACTCCACAGAGCCAGCCCCTGAGTCAAGATTTTGGGCAAGGTTTTCTTCATGGATATCAGGGGATGGGAAGTTTACCGGTATGCCTCCAAGTCTGATCAAGTTCTTTGTTTCACACGCTGACAATCACGCAGTCCACGACAGATTGGTCAACTCCTCGACCGTTCCTCTCACCAAACCCCCAGCAACAGCACGCCAGTAAGAAGCTAGCTTTGTCCTCTCCAAGTCTCAACCGGCCGCCAGTACCGCCCTGGGTGCCAATAAATGCCACCTTAGCAACTCCATTGCCAACCGGCAAACAATTACAACACACTAGCAACCTTTTGAAGCCAACCCGTGGACTACATTCTACTTCCCAATCCAACAACCTCCCTATCAACCTCTCCCTCTCAGAAGACGAGCGCAGCCCACCAAACTTGAATCGATCTAATTCCTCGGGTGGCGAATCGTCTCAAAGCCCACAGCAGCACTTTTCCATGTCGTCATCGTCAAAAGCGGGGAATAGCAGGCCGGGGTTGGGACACAAGAGCCAGAGGACTGAGAGTGGGGGTGCGCAGCAGCTTAACAGTCCGCAGGATCAGACGGAGGTGGATATGTTGTATGAGTATTTTCCATTGAGTGTGGATGACTGGTAAGTCTGTGCCTGGAGAGATGGGAGTAGAGGGGAAAGAAAGTGCTGACGAAATCATAGGATGCCGCCGGTGGATGCGATTTATCGACCGCATGTGGTTCATCATACTATTGTGCCGCCTGAGGTGAAGGCGCAGCAGCTGAGGAGTAAGGGGAAGAGGTATTTTGCTGCTGACTGAGGTCAGGAAGAGGGGGGCTATGATGGGATTTAGGTTGCATGTTGAAGAGGGTGGAGGATGTGCAGTTATATATACCAGGGACAGTTACTGCGAAGGAGATGGGACGATGTGAAGTATATGGGAGAATGGTGAATGATGGCACGGCCTGGGATGGATGTCTGTGCAAGTTTTTTGGTGTTTGTGGTGCGGGATTTTGGCTGGGCGTTTCAGGGGGGGATGATGTATTATTGTACGACAACATCACACTCAGGGGACGGGGGGCGTTAATCATCAGCTTTTTGTATTGTGGCCTTTTTGGCTTTTCAGGATCTCGTGCTTTGCTTGTCCAGACAAGCCAACGCCACTGCTGCACCCAAAACTGAACTTTGTTTTGCGGGGACGAGCTTAAAGGTGGTGGGTGTGTTGAGGGTTAGTTGGTCGAGGTAGGATTGCAAGTGGGAGAGGTAGTGGGGGTAGTGCTCTATCACAGAGCCGGTATAGGCTATTGTTGTTGTCTTCTGGGGTTGTTTTTGAGGGGAAGAAGCTTCGAGGTTTATTTCGTGAAGTGCGTGGAGGGAGGCGGCGAGGATCGAGGCTGAGCGTTGGGTTATGAGGGAGGCGATTGAGGTGAGGAGGGAGAGGTCGGTTTGGGAGGGGGGGTGGGGGGAAGGGTGGAGGGTTTGGAAGTGGAGGGGGTCACTGGGGGGGTGTTAGTGAACACGATGCATCAGAGAGGGACAGCGGACGGGGAGCACCTTTCGAGAAGAGATAGTGTCTTTGCATCGAGGGTGTATTCCCTCGCTAAAGAATCCGGGACAACCCCGCCGAATGCCCCCGTTTCGTGGATTGCATCGACCAAAATCAACCTGGCCACCTCGCCGAGGTAGAACCCGCTGACGAGATGCTCCAGAGGCTGAAAGTCTGGTCTTGGGTGGGAGGCTTTGAGGGTCTTGTCCCATTTTGTTGAGGGGAGGGAGGGGCCGCCGAACATGCCGAGTTCTGTGTTTACTACTACGTGAGTGGCGAGGGTTTGGGGACGGGGGGGGAGTTTGGAGGGGCTGATGGTGGTGACGGGGAGGTAGGCGGCGATGTTGACGCCTGTACCGAGGATTAGACCGAAGGTTGTGGTTGAGGGGTGGGAGTAAGCTGCGGAGAGGAGCGTGGCGGAGGAGTCGTTTACTATGGCTGAAAGGGAGACGTGTAGGTTGTGGTGGAGGCAAGAGGTTTGGAGTATGGAGGAGAGGTTTTGGTTCAAGAGGCCGTCGGCGGCGTGGAAGGATTTTCCCATGGGGCGGAGGAGGTAGGTTTGGGGGGTGGGTTGTTTGCGTGGATGTTAGCATTGGGTATGTTTGAGAGGATGGATAGACATTATACGAGGAGGAATGGCATACTCAATTGGAAAGCTCCACGACAGCCCAAGCAATAACGGGTCATCAGCACAGTGACCCTGCCTGCTGTCTTTTGCCACAGTTTGGTAGATTTTCTCAGCCATCCAGTCAAAAAAGGCTCTGCCCTTCAATGCTCTGATATCATTGTCGATATTGAAGGTGTCAATGCTGACGATGACGCTCTCTGGACCTCCTGAAGAACCTCTGCCCTTGAGGTCCACCAGAGCAACTCGCAAGGTTGAGCCCCCAACGTCAACAGCCAGATATTGACCCGACTCATCTCCCGTGGGAAGCTCGGTATGGTACGATGGAAGCATGCAAGCCGGATTTGAGAGGAGGCCCTCACGAAACTCAAGCTTCAGCTTTTGAGACAGAGCTCTACGCTTGTTTGGTTGAGTAGGATCCAAAAGCAAACTCTCGGCTTTTGCGAGGAAATCGCTGATAGAGGTTGAGCCATCCTTGCTGGGTGGTTCACGTAGGGTTGGTGAGGACTCAGTCGAGGTTGTCCAGAAAGCTAACAAAGCTTGGAGAAATGATCGGCCTCGGAAAAGCGATTTGATGACGGCCAGGAGTAAGTCACGCAGAGATGCCATGGCGAAAATGAACGAATGCAAGAAGGAGGTCCCTGTTGGGGACCTGTCTCTATTACTTATGGGACGATGATGAAGGAGCAGACATCCAGATTCCAATACGAGGTCCCATATGAGGTGGAATAAGGCTGGCGATCAGAGCTACCTTCCTGGACTGGCATGGCTGTTAGCTCGCTACTTTTGACTCGTGCACAACATTACTCGATACCGCGCAGCAACGGGCTCGTGGGAGTTGTTCTTGGTGTATCGCTCTCCAAGAAACCACCACTACGCAAAGTCTGGAGATTGTTTAATAGAAACGAATAATGTACTTCGGCGAAAAATGAGGTTCCTGTTAGCCACCTGTTGTCTCGACCTAACAGGCATCCAACTCCAGCGGTTGCGTCGGTAGATTGCGCGCCAGCAAAACTGGCGGAAAGACCTTTGAGCCTCCAACGACCAATCTATTCAAGACGAGAAGCATGGCCGGTAGTGGGTAAGGAATGGCAAAGTCGTGGGGGACCAATGACGGAGGGATCTTGGAGATTGACTGGCACGGCTGCTTGGAGCTGAATATTGCAGAACATTTCCTCGTCTCGTTGTCGGTTTAGGGAGGTGGGTGGGAAAGTAACGTTCCATGCCTTCCTTGGCTGGGGGAGGCTGTCAGCGGAGAGTAACCCTGGAGGGAGCCGCAACTGAAGTCTGTCGAGACGATTGGGTTTCGTAGATTTGACTTCAATCATTCGCCAAAGCCCTGTCCAACGGGGGCCATCACATCACCAGCAGGCCGTTCGTGGCCGTTGTAACCTGGACAGAGGAACACACAGTGTGGGCGGTATGGCTGGGCACCGTGGGAATCTCGTGATAGCACGGGCCACATGAACTCTAACCTCCCTCCCGTCCACAAACAGCAAGCACAACCCGGGGACAGGTTGAAGAGGGAAGGCGTTGGGGTGTCATACTTGCCATGGAGGGAGTAGTGGATGACAGGCGATCGGGGCACAGGTCCATCGCAACCTGCAACTTGTGCCACCACTGCTCCTCAAGTACCCGGTCCTATGATAAACGTTTCATCCACTGCCATCATTACCAATTACCACTACCGTTGACAGTTCATCACAGGTATCACATTGCTTGAGTGACTGAGCCCTCCGAATCCCGGACATACTCGGCGTGGAATATCACAAGTGTTGTTCTGGGCCATCAGTCATCAGCCTCCGCAATCCTAAGAACTCTCTGCCCTCCAACCTACCCGCAACGCCTTGCTGTGCTCTGAAGCTCTAATAGAGGCCAAAATGAGACTCATCATCAGAGACAACGGAGAGGCTGCCAGCCGATACGCCGCCAACTATATTGTCGAGAGAATCAACATCTTCCGCCCTGGCCCAACAAATCCCTTTGTACTAGGTCTTCCTACCGGATCCAGTCCTGAGATCGTATACCGAATTCTTGTCGAGAAGCATCGTGCCGGCAAGGTCTCGTTTCAAAATGTTGTAACCTTCAACATGGTAAGCCGACCTTTCTCTCTATACCGGACCGCGTGGCTGATTACCACCACCTCCAGGACGAGTACATTGGACTCCCACGAGACCATCCCGAGAGCTACCGCTCGTTTATGCACAAACACTTCTTCTCGCACATCGATATCAATCCGGACAACATCAACATGCTTGATGGCAACGCCTCCGACCTAGAGGCCCATTGTTCCGACTACGAAGCCAAGATCAAGGCTCTGGGAGGAATCAACCTCTTCCTGGCGGGCATTGGTGAGGATGGCCACATCGCCTTCAACGAGCCCGGCTCGAGCTTGGCCTCTCGCACTCGCGTCAAGACACTTACCTACGACACCATCCTCGCCAACAGCCGCTTCTTTGGTAATGACGTGGGAAAGGTACCCAAGATGGCCTTGACTGTTGGAGTTCAGACTATTCTCGACTCCCGCGAAGTGGTTGCCCTCGTCATCGGTGCCCGCAAGGCCATTGCTCTCCAACACTGCATCGAGCAAGGGGTGAATCACATGTGGACCTTGTCTGCCTTGCAGTTGCATCCATATCCTCTGATTGTGTGCGACGAGGACGCCACACTGGAGCTGCAGGTAAAGACGGTCAAGTACTTCAAGAGTATTGAGCAGGTTGCTCGATCCAATGGCCTTGAGCAATGTCTACCTCTCAAAATCAGCACCAGTCATGTGCCCACGCTTCATGATACACCACCGTCCCCGGCGCAGACGCCTGTTCGGTTCAGGATGCGAGTCCCCACGAAAGCGGAATTATTTGGCGAGTCGGCGTACACGGTCGAGTCCGGTTGCCCTTCTCCCAGATTAGACTCCATGTCGGCTCGAATCAAGAAAGACGAACGATGCCCTTCACCGCGCTTTGATGCCATGTCCAGTCGGCTCAAGAGTGACAAGGCTGATCACTCCGACCATGATCGGGCGCCTGATTCCGACAGCCTATGGCGTTTTATTTTGCCGCTACAACTGCAAGACCACAAAGATGGCCACAGCGGCACAACAGACTAAAACGAATAGTAACTGGGTCAGTCACGGGGAGTTGGGCATCTGGGGTCGAAGTTGCAACCGCCGCAGCCGTGGGTTCTGGTTTCTGAGGTGACTTTTAAGTTTTGTCTACTGCCCTAAAAATGCACTTCACATAGCTCTTTTTCCGAGTATTGAGGCTCAAATGCATGAGTGTGGATGGAGGCCTGGTAGTCGGCGGGCCGCGCCGCATATCATCGCTTTCTTTGGTGTGCCCCTGAAAGTGAAGATTCGGCCCCCACGACCCCCAACTTTGCACTCGGCCGCCTTGCTGTGGTCTGAGGGCACAATTGGCAGCCCACCTTAACGATTGGAAAGATGGCCGTCGTCGGAGAGCCATATCAAACATCAAGCATTGCCAGCTGATTTGCACTGTGGCTTGCCCACTGCCTCACCAGGCACCACCACAGCTGGCCTCAGTCTTGCCCATAGTCGGTAAGTATAAGCCATGGTCACATGCAGGCAACTTTTGTGGCCGTTTGTGGTGATTATGCGAACAAAAGGGTATTGTGATGGGGCGTGGTCTAGGTGGTGGGTGGGTGTGGTGTGGTGGTCATGGACTTTTTGTACTCTAACTACCCAGCCGGCTCAATAACACCTTTCTCAGCAGGTTTTCTCGATCTCTCATTTTGATGAAAAACCAAATGGTTTTTTTTGGGTGTTTTTGTTGGTTGTTTTTTTGGAACAATGGAGCTCCTCTGTAATAAGACGCTCGTCACAGCTGCGTGTTTGAATGGTACGGCGGCGGCGGAGGCTGGTGGTGGTGGTGTTTTGCCAGAGTCGATGCTCCAGCTTCATATTGTTGTTCCTGCGGTTACGGTGCTTGGGTTGATTGTTTTGGGGACGTTGATGGGGATGGTTTTGTTTTTTTGGAGGAGGAAGTACGCGCTGGCGGAGGAGGGGGGGGATAAGAAGGGGGGGAAGTGGTGGGTGGATAGTGAGAGTGGGAGTGAGAGGGGTGGTAGTGTGACGATGAAGACACAACAACAAGAGGAACAGGGGAGAAGAGAGGTGGTGAAGCAGGGGGGGAGGACTGAGGATAAGGAGTTGCCGCCGCCACCACTGAAGTTGGTACGCAGAGAACGAGAGACTACACCACTGCAGGGGGAGATGGGGATGGGGATGGGAATGGGGATGCCGGAGGTATATCTTCTGGTTTTGGAGTGGGAGGGGAATTGACGAACGCGCTGGTCTGGGCGAACTTTGGACCACCACCTCCTCCCAGCCCACCAGTACCACGAGTGCCGTCGGAAGTGGTATTATCACCACCACCACCACTACCTAGCCCAACTTCCCAGAGACCAAACAACATAAGGTCTCTAATCCCCCCTCCGCGACCGTACAGAGCTCCCAATCGGAACACCTACCCCAACCAAGCGCTCCAACCACCCCCTCAGCATGGTTACGCCCAGCTACGGAGCTTGACACAATCAGCCTCGCAGCCAGAGATGAGGCAGCAACCGCACCATAGCGTTCAAGCAAGTCTGTCGAAAGAGCGGTGCTTGACGCAGTCAACATCTCAGCCGGAGATGCGCCAGAGGGAAAGGGAGAAGAATACGGTGCTAGTGACGAGGTTGGAATACAACCACCCAGATGAACAGAGGGCAGCAGCGTCCAAGTGGGAGAGGCCTGGGCTGGGGCTGGGGCTGGGGTTGGGGATACCAAGGCAGAGTTTTGACGGGGAGAAGGGGAAGGAAAGGGAGAGGTTGTTGGTGAGGAGTAGTAGGAGGTTTTCGGTTTCGCAGAACTTTTAATTCTTCAGGTACCTTAATGTCATGGTTAGGTAGTGAGGAGTGAATAGGAAGGGATCTTTAGGTTTGTATTACTATCTTGGAAGCATCTCTTGGTGAGAGGATGGTGAGCCAAACTATTCCATGTATCATTGCTTGAATGCGTGATAAAGCGCATCGACTTGAACGGATGACAGTGGCAATCCCCACCAAAAAACTGGCCGAAATGCCATTGACGCCAATGCTTGATGCAGGAACAACACCTCAGCGTTCGGATGGTTTGTCTGGGGGAAATGTGAGCTGGTTTCAGGGGTCATCCCATGTGTTATCTCCGTCCATCCCATCTCCGTATCCCATCTCTCCATCCCGTCTCTGAGGACTGGCTCTCACTCCCATCTCTCAGCCCCATCTCTCCAACGCCCATTCTCCTCGGCCTATTCACTCTTCACCTAGACAGAGCCCTCACAAAATCATCACAAATCACATCACCATCAGTGCACACGCAAAAAGCTCTCTCTAAAGATCATGAGTTTTCATTCCAATCCATCGATCCTTTTCCATAACTAAACACAGCGAGCACCCCCCATCCATCATTCCACAGGATAGGTATTGTCCCTCGCGCAAAAAGGCTACATAAACAACAAAAATATACGTATCCGAAAAGAATAAAAAATATCTCCAAAATCAAGTACAAAAAAGTCTCAGCGGCGGGTGTTGTTATCCCCCCTCCTGTCCGAACAAAAAAAAAGAAAATTACCCCTTCATCATCCACTCAGCTAATACCTCAACACAACCTTGCTCCCCTTACTCTCCCCCCTCCCATGCCCCGCCCTCCAACTCTCCTCCTCGCTCACAACCTCCCTCCTCTCCGGAATCGGCACCAAACTAACACTCGTCCTCCTCCTCTCCCTCCCAACCTTCATCTCCACAACCGGCTTCGCAACACAAACCTTGTGCAACCAGTCAACCTCACACTTCTTCTCAACCACTGGCACAGCCGCCCACAACCCCTGCCCCTCAAACCTCTCAAAAGGATCCTCCCCCCTCTTCACAGCCCTAATCTGCCCCAAAATCTCCACTTTCCTCGCCTTCTTCTGAATCGTCTTCCTTCCCTTTTGCCTCCTAGCAGCGCTCTCAGCGTCTTCAACAGCGCCGTCAACAGTAGGGGTGTTAACACCCTTAGCCAACCCCCACATCTGCTGCGACGGGATCACAGCCACAGCAGCAGGGGGCGCCCAGAGGGTGGCAGCCGGCTTGGTAGGGACAACAGCAGGGACCTTCGACCTGCTCGACTTGTGAGATTTGGAAACAGAAGGCTTGGAGCGGGAGTGAGTCCTAGCAGGGGTGGACACGGGGGTTTGCTCAGGGGTGGTTTGGCGAGAAATAACGAGGGATTCGCGGATGCGATGGCTCAACCGGCGCTGAATGTCCTGCACCGTCTCAAACGTTGTCGTCGCCATGGTGGGCTCCTCTGTTGGGATGGGGGGAGGTGGTGGGAAGGGGGCTGAGATGGAGGTGTTGCGGCGGCGGTATTCAGCCTGGGCAAACTGCTGGGCGAATAACCTCTCTTGCTCCAAAGCTTCAATCTGGGCTTGGATCGTGTCCCTTCTGCTGCGGGTAGATGAGGAGGCCGAACGCTCACGCTTGGCCTTGGAAGCCTGACGACGGAGCTTCTTGGCGGCGTAGGAAGAGATAGCTGGGTGGACAGACTCAAGAGGGCAGGTGATGGCCAGAGAGCCAAAGAAGACGGGGTGAACGTTGGCTACGTCGTAGGTATAACCAGTGGCAGCGGGGTGGAACCACTCGGAGCGAGTGATCAAACTCTTGGCCGCGAAGACGGGGTGGCGGACCGAGGAGTCAAACTTGGCAGGATAAGAAAGGGCGAGGGCCTCTTCAAGAGCGGCGTCCCACTCGGCGGCGGTGGCAGCGATGCGAGTAACCTTGGGGTAGCTAGCGGCAACAGCCTCGTTCAAAGCGGCGCGCCAATCGGCAAGGCTGAACTCAGGGCGGGTGGTCTTCTTGGGCTTGGCCTGTCCCTGAATCCAGTTGCGTTCAGTCTTGGTGACAGCCTCGAGGGTCCAAAGAGAAGTCGACTTGAGCTGCTCAAGTGGCTTGCGCTCAACAGGACGAGGGCTACGGCTCATGGAACGAGCAGCGGGCTCCTCAGTGGTGGTGCGGTAGACGGTACGGCTGGGGTCGACGGTAAAGAGACCTTGAGGCGGAGAAGATCTGCAAACGACAGGCGGGCTCCACACACCAGTAACAACCGACACTGGCCTGGACTGAATCCAGTTGCGCTCAGTCTTGACGACAGCCTCAACAGTCCAAAGAGAGGTCGAGGCAAGCTTGTCGAGGGGCTTGTGGTCAGCCGGGCGAGGGCTTCTGCTCATGTACTGAGCAGCAGGTTCCTCAGTGGTGGTCCGGAAGACAGTGCGGCTGGGGTCAACCACAAACAGACCTCCCCGCGAGGAAGATCTATCAGTGACAGGTGGGGTCCACAAGCCAGCAGAGACTGTCTTGTTCTGAATCCAGTTGCGCTCGGTCTTGCGAGCCTCGGTCTGAGCAGTCCAGAGGGAAGTCGATACCAAACTGTCGAGAGGCTTGCGCTCAGCCGGACGGGGGCTGCGGCTCATGTACTGAGCAGCAGGCTCCTCGGTGGTAGTGCGATATACGGTGCGGTTCGAGTCAACGGCGAACAACCCACCCCGCGAAGAATCTTTATCCAATGTGACGGGTGGGCTCCACAGACCTGCAGAGACCTGCTTGACAGCGGTCTCGGCCTGGGTGGATTTGATGGGGTGGCGAGGAAACTGGGGTTGTTTGGGTGCCGAGGCCGGGGCAGCCGGTACTTGCGACTCGGCGACGGGGGCGGGCGGAGCTGGGCGGGGGTTGGAAGGCAGGCCAATCCTGGCAACAGGCTTGGACACGGGCTTCTTCTGGACTTGGGGCTCGGGCTCATAGACGGCATCGTTGAGGATCGTAAGGGCATCGCTCTCGAGGGTGGCAGAATCACGCTTGCGGCTAACAACAAGCTCGCTGGGCTCAGCAAGGCCAATGACAATGGATTGCTCGCGGGAAGACTGGTCCTCATCATCGGACTCGAGCTCTTCAACATAGTCACCCAAAACAGAGTCCTCAGAGGGAACCAAGCTGCTTCTAGAGGGGACGTTGTCAACCTTGAGTAGGCTGGCAATCTCCCAGAGGGTGGTCTCATCGAAGCCATCGTCGCTACCATCTTCATCAGAGTTCATGCCGTCAACGACGTCATCGTCGTCATCGTAATCATCAAAGAACGAAGAAGAGTATTCGTTGAGCTCAGTCTGCTGGGAACGGACAGGTGCACCAGAGGCCATGGTACCAGGCATGGCCATCAAGACAGGAGGGCGAGCCTGGACGGAGGCCGTGTCGGACTTTTCTCCCCAGGGGAACTGGAAGATACCGAGAGTGCCCCTCTTGTTAGGCAAGGGCTCGGGGTTCTCGATGATATCAGGGAGAAGAGTGACGCGCTTGTTGCGACGAGGCGGGCGCTGTGTCACCGGACGAGGAGCCTTCTGGGGCTGAGGCGCCGCAACCTGTGAGACACGCTTGACTGGCTCAGCTGGGGGAGCAGCTGAGGCCCAGACGGGCTTCCAGAGTCCGGTGGTGGACCGGCTGGTGTTGGTGTAAGGCTTGCGCCAGAGGTGGGTGCTGTGAATCTGGAGGGGCTCCGGCTCCTTTCTGGCCATGGGGCGGACAGAAAGGCTGGGGAGGACAACCTCGGTCTTGGCAACCTTGATGGGAGCAGTCCACAAAAGACCAGCAGGGGCGGAAGACCTGCTTGGCGGGGTCCAGAGCCACTCGGCCTTGGGCTGCTCCGGAGAGGGCTCGGGAGTCTGCTCGAGGCACTTCGCCGGGAGCTCTGGGACAGGGGGAACCTCTTCCTCTTCCGGAAGATTGATGGAGGATGCGTCAGACTCCGGGGGAGTTGGGCTCGCAAGCTGAGCTCTGGTGAGCTGCAAGAAGTTGACGCTGCTCTCGCGGAGGAGACGGGCGTCCATGTACTCCATCTGCGCCTCAGTCAAGCGCTTCTGCCACTTGCTCATCTGAGCGCTGCCAGAGTTGCGGACCGAAGGTTGCTCCTCAATCTTGGACATGCTGCTGTGCTTGGACAGGCGAGCAATGCGGGAAGCCCTGCGGTCAGATCCGATGCTCACTCTGGTGTTGGCGGTCTCGGGGACAATGTTGGCAACGCTGGCGACAGAGTCATGCTTGACGGCGGGCGAGCTGGTCTGGACGCTCGAGAGAGAGTCACGACCGATGTCGTGCTTCATCTCCTTCCAGTGATCAACCTGCATGCCCATTTCCTTTTCCATCATTTCGAGCAGGGCCAAACGCTGAGAAGGCGTGTCAGCATTGACTTCAGGCTCCTCCAGCTTCTTGAGCTGGGCCTGAATCTGTTGCAGAGCGTGTTCTGGCGACTCCAGAGGGGAAGGCTCAGCGTGAACGATGACGGCCTTCTTGTTGGGGGTGCGAAGCGAAAGGGGAGTAGGGGGTGTCTTTCTGCATCCCTTCTTGCTCAAGCAGTCCTTGGAAAACGCAGGGCACTCGTCACCAACACGCCTGTGCCACTGGCTCTGAGGTGCAGGCTTGGGCGCAGAGACAGGCTCGGGGACTGGTTCAGGCTCAGGCTCCTCGGGGGCCGGAATGGTTACTTCATCGTCCACGAGCCAGGATTTCCGCATACCGAACTTGGAAAAGGTAGACGTGTCGAGCATGAAAGGCACGTCATCGCTGTCGCGAGACTCGACAACCCTGGTCTCCTCCTTGGGCTCTTCAGCAACCTGCTTAGCAGGCATCCGAACAGCGGCAGGGAGACCCTGAGCCGGCATGATGGCCATGGGCATGGCGTACTCGGGAGAATTCATGGAGCTCCAGTTTGTGGCTGTTCCTAAATCGTCCACAGTAGTCTCGGTCCAAGCTGAGGCTCGAATTGCAGGAATGACTGGCGAAGACTTGCGCTTGTCTTCTTGCTTGCCAGCCTCAAAGGCACTAATCCATGCCTTGCTTGTTTCGTCCGTGGCTTGGACATTTGACTCTTTCCGCGGAATCTCGTCCACTTCGAGGATGCTATCAGTCCGTACAGATGTCTTGGTGGTGCGGTTGGACACCGTCTGATTGTCGGCTTCACTTGTAGAGGAAGTAGTATCCAGGTAGGACATGGGTATTCTGGGGAGCTCGGGCACTGAGGAGGATCTGCGTCTAACGGACTTTGACCTTGGTGGAGCGGGGAAGAGGAGAGTCATCTTCTCGTCAAAGGTCATGCTCTTGGTGTTGTTGGGTTGTGGCCTCGCAGGCAATCCCACGCTTCTGGGAGCAGGTGGGAGCGGGGGGAGCTGAGTAGGGCTGCCAGAAGTCGCATCCAAAATGGACTTCCTTCCCAAAAGAGAGCTGGCAGACTTGCTTCTGCGATGGCTGGGAGAAGCAATGTTATCCGGCTTGCGTGGGATAGGTCGCGGACGGTTGACGACTGAAGCAACCCTGGCCGGAGCCTTGGAAGTTGGGGCTGGCTTCGAGGGCAGAGTGTTCGCCCTGCTCATGATATTTCCAACAGCAACCGGGTCGTGATACTCGATGTTGTTGATGAACATGATGGTCTTGTGCTGCGACGAAGGACCCATCTCCTTGCCAACCTGGATGCCGCGAGCTCTTGGGTTGGTTGGGAGACCAATCGTGGGTCTTCTCTGGAGCGGCGTCTTGGCTGCTTCCTGAGGAGGGGTGTCGGGCGAGGGAGGCAGCTGTCGCGACGGGCGGATGCCAGGTCTTTGGATCGGCTGAGGGACGTTGGCTTGCAGCAACACTGTTACTGGACGAACGTCATTTTGGGATGCCCTCGCAGGTTGAGGGGCAGGAGTCAGCTTCTCAGGGGTCCAGGGCCGTTGCTCCTCTGGCTCTGGCTGGCGTGGTGATCTACGACGAGTCTCATCACTGGCAGGAGAAAGCTGGGTCGAGGTCGTGGAGGCAGAGCTGTCGGCTTGCAGACCTCCAGGGAAGGCACTCTGACGGGATGAAACTGAAGCCACCTCCTTTCTCTTCATGCTGGCAGCCCGCTTGACGCCCTCCTCGGGAGTCAAATGCATCGACTGCATGACGGACCGGTGCGGCACCGATAGGCTTCCCTCCTCAATCCTGGTCCGTCTCCTCTCCTTATCCGCCACGATCGCCGACTGAAGATCAATAACCGTGATCTTGTTTAATGGGTTACCGTCCTCGTTAGACTGGAGGACTGGCTTGCCAATCACTGGCCTTCCCCCTGTGGAAGATGTCCTCTTTCCAAAATCGCCCCACATGCCCCTCTTCTGAGAAGCCGATCTCTCCAACTGGCGGACATATTCGGAGCTCACGGGTGGCGGCATCGCTGGTACTCCTTGGGTAGCGACGCTCATGGCGAAGGGGAACCCAGCACTGGTCTCATCCTTGGTATTTGGCACCTCTCTAGGGTTGACGAAGCTCCTCGATGAGCGGATGTTGGCCTCCTTCAAATCCTCAAACCGGCTTGGGGGATATTCCGAGTCAGCGGTCGAAATATCACGGCTGATGTTGATGCGTCTCGGTGAAGGGGCCTCGGGAAGCCCAGAGTCGGATTTCCTAGACGAGATCAAAGTCATGGCGCCAGCCGTAATGAAAACTAGAGGTTGTCAGTTGAAGGAACTAGCAGGGCAGTGTACAACTTACCGATCAGCACCAACAGTCCGCCGGCAGGGAGAGCTGTCCTAGCGGCAGATGGGATGGTGGTGATGCCGAGCAGCATCACAATGCTGGCAGCTGTCCAGCAAATCAGACCTAGCAAAACTGAGGTGAGAGACCTGGAGTTTGTCTTCGCAGCACCGCCACTCGAGTAGGCCTTCTGGATCAGAAGAACAATGATGATAGCATCCAAAGCCAACACAGCAACGCCGACAGGGAGAGCCGAGGTCGTCGCGAGGCAATAGTCGTCGGTCTGAGGTCGAGCGAAGCCGACAAACACGGCACCGGCGAGGAACCGGGCCAAAACGAGAATCTGGGGTAGCAACTGCACCACCGAAAGCTTGCCCCCCTTGTTAGAATTCAAAGCCCACAGCAAGAACTGTTCGATCGAGAACCTCGCCAACTGGTCGAAAATAGAAGCGAAAATAACACCGATTTGACATGGCATCGATGAGCCTGTGGTATCGATGAGCGTCGTAACAAAATCGATGGCAGCCCATAGGGCCGAAGAAATAAGAAATAATACGAGGACCAGCCTCTGGCTGTCGCGGAATACCGCAGCACCATGGCCGTTGATGTAAAGAACGAGAGCCGCCGAGGCAGCATAGACCACGCTTCCGCTATACCAGTATGTTAGCTAACCTCCTTCACGATGTCCATCCTCATCCTCCGTCTTCTTCACCACCGCCCCCAACAGACAACACCTCGACTCGGGATAGGACACATAGAGTGGCGAGAGAACTGACAAGGTAAAGGCCCCAATGAGGGCCTGCGTGGTGGTACCGTTGTTCGCCATGATGGACGATGATTAGCAGTATAAACGAGACAGAACGAGTACAGAGAGAAACTCAAAAGGCCCAATCAATGGGGGGCAAAAGTATTAAGGTAAGAATAGAATAGAATGTTAGTTGAATGAGCGTCTCATAGTGATCGTTTCCCGCACGTCACGGCGTTGATGTTGTGAATAGTGTCAATGACAGGCAGACATGTCAGGGCCCATGCCGTGTCGTGCCAAACAAACAGAAGGAGAGCAAAAGGCAAAGGAAAAGAGAAAAGAGAGGCGGTTCTCGAAGGGAGTCCCGGCCGGGGCTGCTGGTGCAACGCTTGACGGTCAACGCCCCCGGATCAGCTGGGTTCCTCACGGGGTGGGATGGCGGACATGGGACAGTGGAGAAGGGGTTGATGAGAGGAGGTAGCAGAGAGGCTGCCAAGGCAGAGCTTGTCGCGCTTGTTACAGAGCCCCCCTAATCGCCATCCAGTCAAGGCCCGCGGCGAAAAGTTCCGTCTGGACTTCGCTTGCAAAATCGTTTCCTCTGGTAAACGGGAGCTAAGCCCAGTCTCGCCATCTGTTGTTCATGCTGGCGCGAGGCATGGGCAGGCATTGGACGAGAGGCGAGGCTGACAAGGCCAATGCTCGGCGGTTGCATCGTAACCCCGTCCTTGGTGTTTCACTTGAAACCTGAGATGTCGCATCTCGCACAGACTCATTGCAGAAACTTCAGCATCTGGCAGTAGCGATAAAAAAAGAGTAAAAAGAGGGGAGACCCTGTCGTCGTCGCTTCTTTTCTCCTGAGCTTGGGATGCCCAGTCTGTCGTCCCGAACGGGCTGTCCGTGTGCCCAAGCAGCTGGGAGGAGGATGCCAGTTGGATGGGCAGACGCTGTGACTCGTGACGAGGATAGCTAACTGTAAAAGGGCGGCGAAACAGCCATCAGGCGCTGGATGATGTGACGATGTGTGTGTCTGTCTATGAGCGTTGATAGGATAATTGCTTCGTCATCGCCCGCGGCCGAGTTGGTGGGAATGGAACACATTTGCAACGCGCCCTGGGGTTGGTCTTTGTTTGGAGTGATATGCTGTGTATCTCCAGAATCCATCCGAAGGCCTACTCAAAGGCTCATGTATAAGACTGAGGTGAGCCTTCTGGTGCACGATGTTGGACGCGTCTAAGCAGCGGGACCACCCCTCCCGGTCGTTAACAGAGAGCTTATCGAAGCAGTGCACGGACCTTCTGCTGCTTGCACTGATAAGGAAGCTGTGGATAACTGATAAGCTTCACTATCTCTTGACATCCAAGTCAACAACATCCTAAGGCTTTAGAACTTGAACTTTTCGCCTTGCAATTCGATCAGTGTTATTCATTAATCTCAGTATACAGCTTCCAAGGATTATTCTCAGTCACCAAGCATTTAACCCACAACTTATCATTTAGTCACCGGCCGCCTGCCGTTCAAGGCCAAGGTGTTCCAATAGCCTCAAGATGGAGTGTGTCATGATTTAACCGCTCTTGCCTGGCACGAGATTCATTCGCCGACGAGATCTAAAACATGAACACATCAAGGTCACAACAGCCGCGTACAGTTATCAGCCTTGACTACGTCTTTTAACGTAACGAAACAGCAACCCTCACACAGTGTCCCTCGTAGTCCTGTCATGAGTGAGGGGTAACAATGAGGGGTTGAGGCTCCAAGTCGTAGCTATCTGGAATACCTACTTCGTAAAAGGAGGTGACCCGAGTAAACTACAAGGCTTATTTCATCCCGAGTCTCATTTTGTCGACGATCCAACGGCCCGGACCGGTAGGCCAATCCGATGACCTGTATGCCGACGGCAAAGTCATGACAAAGGCGCAATTCTGGCCGCATATCCCACCACCGCCTCGCAGTCATCAGAAAGGCGTACCGATATGTAGGCCAGCCCCATCGGCATCTCAACGCCGTGTTCTCGGAAAGCAGCGGTCCACGGAGCAGCCGATGGCTCCCGAGGAGGGGTTCGCATCCGGGACCAATCATTTTATCGCCATTTCCAGTTCCTACATCTCCATGAATGCTGTTATCTCATGCTTGAAGATAAAATATATACCCACAACAAATACATCTTGAGCCGCTGTGTCATTTGCTTAGTATTTACCTGTCTCGGTGATGCTAACCGTCCGTGTTAGTCTCGAGATAACCGAGTTGGCATCAGACCAACAAATCTCGTATCACATCTACACATCACCAACACCGACAGGGATAAATGACTGTATTCCGTGACTCATTGTAACCACACGTCTGTCTCATAAGCATTAGGATCACGTATAAGACTCTCGTCATCCTCTCCTACTCACGAGCCTGTTTATACACATCCCAATCATCTCACAACCCCTCGCCTCCCTCAAGGTCCCTCACACCACCGCCAACATGCCTCGTCAAGACCTCGAATACCCAAAAGAAGCTCACAACACCGTGAAGCGCTACAACCACCTAGGTCAGTTTCCCCCCCCCCCTTTTTTTTTTTCCCCTCCAACCAACACCAACAAACTAACCATCCCCCCAGCTGAATACTCCCTCCGAACAATCCACTCCATAATCAACTCCACCCCCCTCCTCCACATCTCCTTCAACACCCCCAACACCCCCTACCCAGCCACAATCCCCATGATCGGCCAAATGGGCTCCTTCGACCGCCCCTCAGCCGACCTAGGCGACGTCCTAGACCTCTACATCCACGGCTACATCTCGGCCCGCCTCACCAACCTCACCCGCACACCCTCGGGCCTCCCCATCACCGTCTCCGCCTCCACAGTCGACGGCCTCCTCCTCTCCCTCACCCCCTTCTCCCACGGGTACAACTTCCGCTCCGCCGTCCTGTTTGGACACGCCACCGTCGTGACAGACCCGGCAGAGAAGCTTTACGCAATGGAGCTCATCACGAATAAGGTGGTTCCAAACCGGTGGAATGAGGCCCGGACACCGCCGACGGCCGGCGAGATGGCTGCCACGGCGGTGATGAAAGTCAAGATTGATACCGGCAGCGCCAAGGTGAGGACCGGGCCGCCGAAAGATGACAAGGGTGATTTGGAGAATGAGGAGGTGAGGGAGAAGGTGTGGGTTGGGACGGTGCCGGTGTACACTGTGCTTGGGGAGCCAAAGGTGGCAGAGTATAATCTGGCAGAGGAGGTGCCAAAGACGTTGGTGGAGTGGAGGAAAGAGGTGAACCAAGACGCAAAGGAGTATGCTGAGCTCGCAGCGGTGAGAAGCTTGGCTCCAGAGAAGAAGCAGGATGATAACTGAGCTGTGGTGAAAAATGGAAAAGTTTTATGCTTGTTTATGAGTCAAGGAAGTATTTGGTGATGAAAAAGAGAAGGAACTCCTGAGCTTCCGGTATCCCTGTATGCCAACACAATGAAGCGTGAATAAACAACATTCAAACAACCCACCCATCGCCTTATACCCTAAACGTCCGCGAATCTCCTGGATGGCGCCAGGCATACAT